ACCTATATTAAGGATTCAGTATCCTAAAAATGGTGCATCTTTTAATTTAGTCGGGTACTCAGATTTTGATTTTCCTAGTTATAGAGTAGATAGAAAAGACACTTTCATAACTTGTGAATTCATATGACTTTTTAATGTTTCGGACTAGTAAAAAATAAAATTTAATAGCACTATTTAGGCAGAGTACATTATTCTAGAAGTTATGTTGCCCAAATCATATGGCTGAAGCAACAACTTTCTGATTTTGGTCTGCATTTGGACACCAACCAATATTGTGTGATTGTGTGACAATACTAGTATTATTTATATTATTAAGAATCCAATATACACAAAAATAAAATACAATCATCACTTCATTAGAAATAATCTGACAAAAAGAAATTTTAATATTCAATTCATTGACATTGAAAATCAATTAGTGGATTTATTTACAAAGCCACTTAGTCATGATAGATTTTGTTCACTTAAAAATATACTTAAAATAATTGACTTATATGTAAGTACCCTAAGAAATCCCTGAAAAAAATTATTTCTACTTTCACAAGGGGGAGGAAAATGAAATTGCAAAAAAATGTTGATCTTTATATTTTTACAAGCACCTATTTAAGGGGAACTTAGTATCATTTTCCAAAAGCACATATTTAGAGGGAGTACTTACCACCAACTTCTATCACAACAATAACAAACCTTTGTCCCACTAAGTGTGGGAGAACTTACTATCATGTTCAACATGCATACAATTTTTTAGCTTTTACTTATAATTATTTATGGTATGAACACGTAAAAAGCATGAAAAAAAGTAATTTTACGCCTTCATCCATAAAGCCAACAATATTTATGTCATCATGAAAAAAATTGGAGACTGTTAGTCTATGAGTCATAATACTGTGTCATGTTAGATTTTGATAATAACAAATGTATGTGTGGATGATATTAATACTTACACTACAAATATTTCAGAAAAAATCACCAAATTAAATTCAACAACCAACTTTGGTTTAGATCAGCAATTGGATTGAGTTTGGGCTGAATTTGTGTCAGTTCTTTAAATCTTACATGAATTAACCAAAAAAAAAAGCTTATAATAAATCAAAATTACTATTTAAAATCATTTCATATATTTTTTTATATTTTATTTAGCATATTTAAAACTAAAAATTATTTTCATTTCATTAAACTATTCCATCAAAATTACATTTAGATAATTACTTATTTACTTGCATCTTTTTATGATATATAACTTTTATTTATCAATTATTTAATTTTTAAATTATCAATGTATGAGAATTATTCTATTAGAATAATTGAAATTGGAATATTCTATCTCCTGAATAATTTTAGATTAATTAATTATCTCTCCTAAATAATTCAAGAAAAATTTTATCATGAAAATTTTTATATTGCCAAAATTTTAATGAATATTTTTCTCTTGATTTTGTTTAATTAATCTAATTATTTTCATGTCATGAGGTTTTCCAAATTATATATCAAATACTAAATTTAGATTTTGAATTAAATGTCATAACAACCTACCAAAATTACTTAAACCCAATTTTGAAAGCTCGAATTACCATATATATATAT